ATGGTTCCTACAGTTATTTTTAGTAGGGAGGGAAATCATTGCTTATTTTAAATGAATGAAATCTGGGTAATGTTAAAGCTAATAGCCAGAATGTAACGCGTGTGCTGCTCTTGAGTGGAGAGGTGGATGAGTTGGTTGGTGTGATTCTGAGGAAAAGCTATGAAGGTTCATCTGCCCTGAGGAAAAGCAGAAGACTAAGGTTCATCTGCCTTGTGCTGGGTCGAAAAAAACACCATTTTGAGCAGGGGAATGGTGGACAAGAATATAGTAATAGCTCAGTCAGTGAGTCTGTGCATTCACTGAAAGAATGGGTATCTGCACGACTGGAGTTATTCATTGGTGCAAATGTTCTGCACCCCAAGTGAGAATGGAAGAAATCAGAGGTGTTAAATTGTGTTAATGCTCTGAGTGGAAATTCAGGTGAAGCTGAAATCAGTGAAACTTTGATTTAATGTCAGAAAGCTTTGGAAAAAAAAAGCTGAAATATTCTTTTCCTGCTTGATCAGCCATACAGCTGGCTGATGTTTCACAATTCATGGAGCATAGTCTGTGAATATTGGGGAATAAAATTTGGTGGGGAATGTCTCTTGAAAATCTCTTTTGTCTGCTTTACTATTCTAACAAATTTATGGTTCACTGTGCGGGGAAAATATAATCTAGTAACCTTTAACTGTGTGTTTTCCCCAGTGTAATGCTTGAGCTTCAGTGAAACTTCTTAAAAAAGCACATATGTCAGTTTTTTTCTGAATTGAAGATGTGCTTCCTTGGAAGCAGCACATAAAAGCTGTGTGGGTATGGAAAACCTTAATGTGACCCCAAGTCAATAGGAAGCCATCCCACTGCTTATCAGGTCGTGGCTGGGGGCTGGGACAGCATGACATTTTAAGGCACAGAGATGGATGAGTTAAAATTCCTTGGAGGGAGAAACGTTTCTGTAAATATTTGCATTAAATTATAAATGTCTCTAGAAGGCAATACACAGTGTTTTGAGATTAGGCCAAAATGTGCTTTAGTTTCATATCTTTAAAGTGATGTAGAATGATAATTGTAGGAGATAAGTTAGTAAATTGAAAACAAGCGAGGAGACATGATGCCATCTTGCAGTACAGCCTGAAATAAATTACTTTTTGTTTTTTTTTCCAGTGAAGAAATTCATAAATAGTAAATTATCTGTTAAGAGGTATCTTCTTAAATGACTTCATGAAGTATTAAAAATGCACACAGTGTAGCAAATATTCAGGATTATGGTTTTCTCAAATGAATTTGCTTTCAAAGATGCAAATTTACTTCTAAATCATGAAAGCCCCAAATAAACAAAAATCCCATCAAAATTCTAGGTATTTTAAAGTCTGTTATACATACAGCTTAAAATTTCCAACCAGTGTTTGTGATCTTCAGTCTTGTGTGTGTATCTAGTTGTATGTATTTGTTCTCTCTAATGCACAATCAAAATCTCATAAATCCATGCTAATGACTGCAAGGCCTATTATGAATTATTCAGTTTTTTAAATTCTTGATTGAGATGAAATGCAATAGCTTGTTCATTTTATTGTAACTGCATTCTAGATTTAATTATTCGCAAGATCATAATAAAAGGCAATATATTTTGTAAATATGACTGCTTAATATTATGGCACTTCAATGAGGCAATCTGATATTGAATCTTTAGTGAGGAATGAGTAGCTCATTTTTATTTGAATTATAAATCAAGTAGAATAGTGCAATATAGATTAGTAATTCTGCTGTGTTCTTAAACTAGCAACACTGTAGCTATGGATGTGTTTCAACACTTGGTAAAATTAATGGTGTTTCTACCAGGGATTGAATTAGAACTGTGTTGAAAAACTGTTCTGTAGTAATTTTCCGTAATTATCTGGTACCAGCTGTATTTTCTGCTTACTCTGAATGCAGATATCATTCTTCTCATGTCATATAGTAACTCTTATATGTAACACAACTTTAAGACTCTAAAAGACAGCATTGAGTCTGCTTTGTGTTGCCTCTCCCCCTAAAACTTCAAGAAAACAAGGTAAAACTTACAAAAAAGTGAGGTGCAGCCTCATTTCCCCTTCAAGACTCAGGATCTGTGCACAGGAATTTTTTTGTGCTTCCTCACTTCTCCATGTAAACACGTGGAATGTCATGATTGGATTTTGTGGGCACAAAAAGCATGGTTTCTTTTTCCTGGAAGCACAACCCTGCCTCTTGTCCATTGTTGGAACTGATTAACTGCTTTTCTGGAATCTCTGTTGGTTGATTCACTGCCAAAACATACTGAAGGGTTGGGCGATAGGTGGCACAGTGTTTGCTGCTATGGGCCATGAGATTACTGCTGTTCCATCCATTGGAGTTAGTGACAAAAAGTTATTTTCCATGGACCATTTTCCCTACTCACTGGAAACTGTAATTAAAGAATGGAAATATTTTTACCCCTAGTAGGTAGCCCAAGTGGGCTCCTTGTTGGAAGCGAGTTTCTGGGTCCGCACTGCTCAGCAGAAGCAGGACACCAGGCAGCAGCCATGCAGAGCCCCCTCACCTCCAAGGCAGTGAGCTTCACCTTCAGCCCTGAGCTCCTCTCATCCTGCCCGTCCTTAGTGCTCTGGCACAGGCATATGGCGAGACCATCCCCAGCAGGGCTCCATCTGGAGTGCTCAGAGCTGCTCCACTCTATTGCGCTCAGGACTGCTATGGCACAGCTACAGTGTGTGCAAAATGAACCCCGTGGGCATCAAAGCATGCCAAAGGAAATGCAGCTTGCTCATTTTTATCCCGCAAGATCTCAGTCACTAATACAACATGCATACTTTATTTTTCTTTCTTATTTTTTTTTCCCTTAGATACAGTTTTCTAAAGTGGTTTTCTCATAAACAGATGTGTCGTGATAGAAAGCATCATATTTTGAATATATATTTAATTTTTCTAGTTGCTTCTTCTAAAGCAAGCCATGCTGGTGATGAGAACTTTACAGTTTCAGTTCCAAAATGTAATACTGTCTCCTAAATTAACTGCAGCAAGTACAAAGGAATCGTTTATTGTTGAGGAGTTTTCTATTATTTGCAGATGTACCAAATTTCTTAATGTTGAAGATGGCACTACACATCATTTAAACTCCTTGATCTTGAGATCCAGTGGCCATTTAGCTCTATAAGATTATACATAAAATTCTACTGTTGTCTGAAATGGAATAACTTCTATGAATGTGACAGCAGAAATGTTCTGGTAGTGTAGAGCACTGACTGAGCACCTGAACTCAGTTCTTTCTGAACTGAGCACCATGGATACCCAGATGTTTTGAATTGTAACCAGTTAAGCAAACATTTATAGTTGTGTTAGATTTAAATATATATATATATGGTTTGATACAACATACCAAATGCAGACAAAAGAGGGGATTCAGCTAACTTCAATAAATGTGGCCTATTGGAGAGGTTGCCATCTAACATAAATGCAGGAGGAGAGAGTTCTCTGTTAGGATGGATAGCAGCAGAGGTGTTCTCTGAGCCTGAATGCAGTTCCCAGTTCCCTAATAAGATCAACATAGTGTAAGGCCAGTCTAGTTGAGACTGTTTTCCAAATCTTTAGTTTTGTTGGTGTAAAAGTCAGGGTGTAGATGGTGTAGATCAGGGAGCAGATTATCTTCAGCAGTGCCATCTGTAGCAGGGGCATTTTTCCCCAAACCCTTGTAGAGAAAGAGGCCTGCCCTGCCACTGTAGGCAGAACTGATTCGGGAGAGGTTTACTTAAAAGGAGGCTGAGGGATGACCTTGGAATTACGTTGTTCCACACGTCTACATCTCATCTTGAGGCACAGCTTCAGGGTGCTTTTGTCTGGGTTCCTCTTCATGGTAACAATCCATGCCATAGACAGGCCTGGGAGGATGAATAACATGCACAAATTGTTCCTTATCTCCATATAAATGGATTTTAAGGGAAGTGGAGCACTTCAGATGGAAGGGAGCAGGCACTGCTCCAACTCGTCAGCGCAGTGCCACTGCCTCTTAGTCTGAAGCACTGCCTTTATTATGTGTGCTGACATGTATACCAGTGCTGTGAAATCACAGCCCTGAAGCATTTATAGCATGGCTCCTGTCTCTCTGAAAGGAATCGCTTAACTGTATTCTTGCCCAACATTTTATAACTGCTCCCAAAGTTTGGGATCTGGTAGGTGGAAGCAGGGCCATGTGCTCCGGGTTGGAGCTGGCCAAACAACATTTTTCAGTTTTTTTTTTTCAAGTGCATCAGATCGGGTTGTCTACAGGGCAGTTATGTCTTTTCTTCTATTTAAAACTCTGTCTTGTTTCTCTAATGCTACACTGAAAGACACGAGCAGGTGATCGTTCCACCAAGGTACTGCTAGTATCAATGTTGTCTTTCGGTCATTTGTCGTGTTTCTGGGGCAGAGGGCTGGTGATTCCATATCTGCCACTAGTAGAATGAATTTGCAAGCCAATATATAACTAAGTACACCACGTACTACTAAAATATCTCTTGCAGTAGTATGCATACAATTCCAGCATGTTAAGAATTATGTTATGATAGTGGCCATTGGCCAAGTTATTCTTCAGCAGGGAGGAGGGTTACACTGTTGTAAAACTGAAGATTAAAATCCAGTCCAGTGGATTGTAGTGTAAGTAGTATTAATGATACACTTCCATTTAAGAATGAATGCAAGTTTCTATTTTAAATAACTTGGATTTCTAAGAACGCAGCTGAGTACAGTTTGGCTTGAGCTTGGATACTCCAAGGTTGATTAAGGCCAAATTCTGTTGATTCAAACGGAGTTAGTGAGCAGACAGCCACTTGCTGAGAACTCTCTGTTTCCTTTGCTCGTTAATATTATATAATTCTTTGGTATTTTAAAAAGAAATTATTTTGCATATGATCAAATAAAACGTATAAAAAACCTGACCAGTTGTTATTTAAAATATCTTCTCAACTAAGAAAGCAGAGCCAAACACGATACATTCTACACCAAATATTCACTGTGTGTGTTTTGTACAGGTTCTACAAAGGAACTGATTGAGAGCTGCTGTGGAGCTGGACAGCAGTGGGCTATAGACAACGGGGAGTGCACAGAAACTCCTATCAGTGGAGCGGATGGTGATATTTGCAGGTACGTAAGTCAAAACCAATCACGTAGTACTGTTGTAGGGAGCAGCCTTTTGGAATAAATTAGGTGGTTGTCCAGTCAATGGAATGTCCAAGAGACTGGGAACTGTTTTATTTTTTTGATGTAAGTTATTGATAGACTGCAACATACCATGGTAAAATAGGGAGAAGGATTTCTTCCTCCCTTTCCTCAAAATCCAGTCAGAGCAAAAGCCTTTTAATAACATTTCTTCTACCTCTCATGTGAGCAGAGCACATATTTTTGTTTCCAAGTTCTGTGCACATCTGTGGAGTTGCAGATAAAGAGAAGAGCAAAGTATCTAAATGTGTTTGTATTCCGTTTGGCAAGTGCTAAAGGCAACGATTATCTGTACTGTTAAATGGCGTGTTTACTTTCCAGTTTGAATGGCTGCTACTTCAGCCATTGATAACACTGCTGGTATCAGTAGCATCTGGTCTGAGCAAGCGTGCCAGGTTTGAATTTATTAAGAAAAAGAAGATGGGTACAGAGAAACGTGAACAATGTATTACGCTAGCTGCAGTTCATCCATCTCTTGTTCTTCCCCCGCCACTGAAACATGCTTCAGGGAGAGCTGACTGCAAAGCTGAGATCCAAAGATCCAACATAAGCAGGTGGATTCCTCTAAGAGTGATCCCAGTGTTCTCAGCATTAAAGAAGTTTGGCAAAATCTTTTTTTTTTTTTTTTTTTTTAATCAAAGTTTGTATCACTGCACCTTTGTTACTGGGAGATGAAAATCCGCCCTCACTGGGAGCTGACATAACATAACCCATACACACCACTGTCCACAAAGTAAAGATAGATTAAAAAATTCCAGCCTCAGCTTAAGCAAGTGCAAATCCAATACATTAATGAGTTGCACCTGCACATATGAAGCTGAGCTTAGATGAAAAAGTCAGATCCTAAATGTTTCAGTCCCTGTGAATCCCTGGGATTTAAAAGAATATGCGAGCAGAAGTTCGTTTGTTTTACTTCAGAATTTCTGTTCTGTCCCAGTTTTAAAGATTTAAGAAACACCTCTAAATATCCTGTATAAAGGTACATTTAATGTAGACAAGTATTTGAAAAACTTCAAAGCAGAGAAGAATCTTGCTGCTTTCATTAGAAGCTGTGCCAGCACGCGGAGCTGCTCACCATTCACATATCTGTGTGCCCAGAGTTCCATCTTGTGTGCCAGATTCCCTGCAGGTAGCACAAGCTCCTGAGCTGCTGCTAACTCAGCTCAGTGCCTACAGTTTAAGAAGCAGACAATGGATGCTAATTGCAAGAATTAGTCACCGTTCTTTCGGGATAGTTGATTTCTAAATCTGGGTTTTGTAGGTGACCTCAGAGCATTGAAAGATGAATTTTTCTACGTGGAGTCTTCACATGGCAAAAACGTAAATGTTGAAGCTGTTGATGTACCTCAATGGCTCTGGACATTTTCTATTCACATCCTGACTTAGCCTATCTTTGTGTAGTTAACAACACTAACTGCAGCGTGGGAAATATGTTAATTGGAATTGATGAAGGTGAACCTTTGGAAGTATTCAGGCTAGGGTTAGCAAAGAGCTTGAAAGCAGGCAGGTAGAGGAAGGTGATGTATAAAGTGCAGTGCCCCACTTCCTTTGAGCAGAAGAATGTGAGGTGTTTCTCAGTCGTGGACATGCTGATATTTTTTGATCTGCACAGAGGTTTTATACAAAACCCCATTGCACAGTGGTGTGAATTTTATGGTCTTTCCGTTTTATCCAGAACTCTTAAATGTCATGCAGTAAAACAAACATTTCTTATCTGAAATCTTTATTTAATGTGATTTGTCTGTTTTCATTGATGATACAGACAACGTTGGTACTGTTAAACAGTGGGAAGTCATTACGTAGGAATGTAGGAGATGTTTGTTGTAACTGGGATTACCAGGAAAAAGTTGAAAGAGTAGAAATTCATCTAGATGAATGAACTTAAAAAGGGCAAGTTACAGGAAACCCTGGGACACTGATGGCCAGATCTAAAATTACTTGCAGAGCGTGCACCACGGGCTGTATTGAGGACAGGATGTCGGTCTGGATGAAATGTCATCTGACCCCATTTAGTTGTTTTTATCTCACGACTGCAGTGTGTTATCAGAGCAGAGCAATGTTTGTTTGTGTGGTACCAGCATCAGCTGTACGGGTTGTGATTTTGCTGACCCCTTCATTGCAGTTAGCCACTCATATCAGTTTAATTCAGTGGCATTGCTGCACCGGTCAGATGTAATATGTAAGTTGCTTGTTCTTGAATGTGTTTGGGTAACAACCATTCATAGCTCAAAAAAAAAACATATATTTCTCTAGCTGGCAATTAATAGTAGATTAGAAAGCAAAGCATGTGGTGGTGGCAATCCCCTTCCTGTAATCAAACTCAAACCACCACTGCCTGGTTACGCTTCTCTTATGGAATCCAGAAAAACGTATGGATGTAAAGCAGACAAACCAACCACTGGCATTCTGAAAGTAGCCAAGTAGCTGTCACCAGTTGGTTTCAACTGGAATAAAAGATATAGCTTTCTTTTTTATTATTATTATTATTATTTTTTTTAATTGAACCATTAGATTGAAAGCTCTGAATTGGAAATGCTTAGAAAAGAATAGCTTTTGTTTCCAAAGACAACAGTATTTTGTAGCAGTGATAACAGTATCTGACTGACAAAAATTGTTTGCTTGCAAATATTTCTCTTGCAGGGCAGTTGCTTTGCTTTGAGGGACTGGTTGTTGGAATTTGTAAACCTTTCACTCACCACTATGAGGGACCCCATGAGGCAGTATGCCCTGTTACTCTGCATCAGCAACAGACATCCACCTTGCTCTTAGGAAAAGAAAAAACACCCAATTCCTTCATACCACCAAATCTGCCCAAAAACAAGAGTCTACCCTTACTTGTAAGAAAATACAGGATTTCATTTGAGGTTTAATGATTTCACTCTCACAAATGCCCAGCCTACAGCTTATCTTCTCAATATAACCTATCAAGGAGACTCCCTGTAGCTTGCAGCTCCCAGTTCTCACTTTTCCCATCATAGAGCCCTTTGCTATCACAGGACCAGGCATCCCTCCTGAGGTGCCAGTCTGCATGGTGCATGGGTCAGTGGGCTGATCCAGGGAGCAAAGCCAAAGGAAAAGTGTGATCATTGTGTCTGCCCTTTTGTATGCGAATGGAAAAAAAAAAACAGGCATCTCTCTGATGGGGTGGAAAATCCACTGTAGATTTTAAAATAGGCTCTAGCAAAGTCAGTAGGTAATGAACTAAATTTAATTACATTTCATTTGGGAATTTTGTTGTTTCTGATTCAAATTTGTTTCATTTTGACCTTCAGTGCATCTTGTTACATGTTTGATTGAAGAGCTATATACATAGGAAATTTAGGTTCTCAGTCCTTAGTACTGTCCAGAGCTGTTGTCCTGTGGCTGTTGAAGAGGTGTGTGCTGGTGCATTTTCCTTTCCCTGATTTTTAGAGAAAAAGGTTTCTGTTTTCTTTTCTGAAACCTTCTGAAGGCCCCTGTGAAGGGGATGAGGGACTGTTGCACAAGTATGAGATGTAAGGTATGTTGATGGACAGACACTGAGAGACAGTAACCTCAGCACTTGACCTTATGAGCCTTTATCAGTGCGTCTTTTTATTAGAAAGGAAAAAAAATACATCCTGCAAAGCTCAATGGTATAAACTGTACTATATTAATATTGACATTTATGTCAAAGAGACATTGAATGTGTGGAATGTATTGCGAATCCAGTAGCTCTGGGTTTTTTTACATCCCATCCTGATGTCCTCTGAATGTCAGTGAACGTTTGCCCTCCGTGATCCTTTGCAGAATCGCTCAGAAGCAGTGTTGCATCTCCACCGTCAAGGAGAACAGCTGCCTGGCTGGCATGATTGCTGCAAAGGAGGGAGATGCATGTGGACCAGAGGAAAGCGATACCTGTGGAGGATCATCATATAAGGTGAGCTGCGGTGTTGCTTCTGGAGTTTTTGATGTGAATATGAGTAGGCTTCATTTCATGCATTCAGCAGTAATTTCTTCATGCGTTATTATGAAACTCAGTAACCTATAAAGCTGCAGGAGTGGAGCAAGGGAATTATGCAGAACAACAGGTTTTTGGCTGTTAGTGTTGAGGTTTCAATTGCCTGATGATGCTGCCTCTTTTAGAACTTCGTGGTAATGTTGATATGAACTACATTCATCTCTGTTTTTAAGGTTTCACTTGCTGTATTTCTTGTGCCTCCCTTCTTTGCAAGTAGCTGAAAAGACCATTTTGGTTTTTATTGAGAAAATGACAGGACAAAACTCAATCGAAGATATAATGGGAAAACCCATTATTGAACAGTTTGCTTGGGTACAATATTGAATTGCAGCCTCATTTCTCATTTAAACAAAACGAAGGACTGGATGAACAAGTATTTTAGATGATGATGGAAGCTTTTGTTCATAAGCAATGGCAGACCATTAACCAGCGATTCAAATCACAAATCACAAGCCACAGCCTCAGCTTGTATAAATGAAATTTGCTTTATGAGAATCACTGGAGCCAAACCAATTTAAACCAGTTTGAAGATTCAGCATCTTGCTTGTCTTGTTTTTACCAGAAGGTTACATTTCAGAATTAATTTCACTCTGATAATAATTTACACAGCTATATCTAAGTTTAAGTGCAGCTTCTGTTGTCTCAGCAGGAAACTCATCAGTTCTGTCTGTTCTTATAAACTGGTGATTCTTGTGGATAACTCTTCACTGGAAAAGCAAAGTGCATGAGCATCTACTCCAGAGTTTAAAGTTTAATTAGTTTTGCCAATTTGTCATTTTCAGAACTACTGTCTACTTAAGCCTGGAGTTTACCATTAGCATACAAAGAGAATTTCTGCATTTGGAAGCAGACAAAATAATTCTGAAGTGTGATAGAATTATTAGGTTTTCACCACGGGTCTTTTGCATGCCAGGGCATAAGTAAGTCTTACTGCATGTGCCATTCCTAGGAGCGAGTGGGGAGACAAAACTTCATCGTTCCTATTTTAGCTGAAGCAAGTCACAAAATATTCTTATAGAACAGTCTCTTGTACCAGTGCAGTGTAATGTTCTCAGGGCTTTTACTTCCAGGTAATAAACGTGTGGGAGCAGAGCAAGTTGTGAATGACACAACGGTTCTAAAGATAAGATTCACCATGTCAGTGAAGAAATAGTTGTATCTGTTGTTAAATGAGTTGTAGAATTCTGGTGAAATCCCTAAGTTGGATAACAGAAAGTCAAAGCTGCTCAAGTTTTTGCTTTTTGGAAGAAAGTTTTTAGTGCGTATTTTTTTTTCTAATAGAAAATGAGACGTTTGTATTCATCTGGAAAATATGTGAACCCAAAAGTGTGTGACTGATTTAGTACCCTCTGTGATGCCTGCACATGGGATAACTGTGAATCAAAACTGTCTGAAAAAAAAAAAACAAACATTTTTCATGGTAAAAATTACAACATTTTACAGCACTTTGGTGAAATATATACTATATGTAACTCCTTTTATTTTCAATATGGAAGTTGAAATACATATATGAAAACTAAATATATCTACGGAAAGTAGAATTTTGAATTGAGTTGAATGTGGAGATTCTGGATGAAAACAGGGTTTTTCTTAATTTCTAGCATGACTATGGCTTATGATAGTTAGATTTTTTTTTTAATGATTAATTTGGACATATGGTTTACTCCCTTTAGTGTCAAAAAGTAATTCAGCATCTTCGGGAGTTGTGCTGTAAACTTCTCACAAATGCATTTGAGTGCAGATGTCAGTCTGATCTTGGGGAAAAAAGCCAAATCTTCAGGGGAGCACGAGTCTGCAACCGTGAACAGTGAATAACTTCTACTATCAGCGATGCTTGGGGAGCTTTCAGAATAAAAGTCATGGACATAAAGCGTGAGCTGTTTTCAAGGGACACACAGTATGTGTGAAATGCCCAAGAAACTCTAAAGCTGCAGTGTTTGACTCTTGAAGAAAGTGACTCAGCAGAAGAGTTTCTGCACATCACGCTGCTGGCGAGCAAGTTTTCCTGTCTCCTTGGTGGAGACAGACTTGGTTTTAATGTGGATGCCAATCTAGGATTGTTAATCATGAAACATGATTCTTTTCCATTCCCATACTGCGCCCAACCCTTACAACAGTGCTTTTCTTCCTCGCTCTCCTCAAGTCAGAAATCTCTCTCTTGGGAAGGAAGAGCTTAGTTCAGTTTCTTCTGTTCAGCCCTTGGACTTTCCGTTGACATAGCTAACTGGTGCCAGTTTGAGTTATGGCCTTCATTTTATGTGTCTGACGCCTGCTCAGAGACTGAATGTTTGAATAGGCTGAAATCACTTCTCTTGGTTCAGAGAGGTGCTTGGAGTTTAGCTGCAAACTCCAAATGAGCACTGCTGAGCTGGGTGTGTTGATTAGCAGAAGTGCTGCAGAGGGAAGGAGCCTGGATTTTATAACTATTCAGTCAGAGTGAAGGCATCTTAAATCTCTGTGCTAGGGATGTCAGGACATTTCTATTTAAATCCAGACAAACATTTTCAATTCACTTATGACCTCTGTATGTCTCTGTAGCAGACAATTCCTCAGCTTCCTTGCTTGCTTAAGGATCCATTTTGCATACAGTATGGACTTTTTGAAGTGTATATGGGGTTTGATATAATTTGTCTAACACACTTCTGGCCTAAATGTGCAATAGGCTTATACATGCTGGAGTAAAGCACAAGGCTGTTTTTGTCTGCAGCCTGCAGCAGCAGAAGCTGCAGGAGAGACTGCATTCAAGGGATGCCTCTTTGCATCAGCCTAACAGTGAAACTGCTGCTTTGGGTTCACTCAGGAAAGAAAGAGAAGGCAAATAGGTCATAAAACACTTCCTGGCCTTTTTCTAGGCATTGCTTTGGTGGGATGGGATCCAGGACAGTCAGGTAAGTGAAGGTCACAGTGGGTCTGCAGAGCAGTGTGCTGTAGGGGAAATAGTGCCACTAACAGAGCTCAGGGGCTGCTGCTGCTCCTTGTGTCTATGCAAGGTGTTTACAGTTCTTTCACACTGCTTCAAGCAACAGGCCATCTTTCAAGATCTACTGCAGAGATGTATGGATCTGTATTATTTTGCTACTAATATACTGTAAACAAAGCAACATGTAAGAGCTGGAAAAAGGCAATCTGTAGCACTGCTACATCCTTCCATGCGGAATGCCTGAAATTGGTGTAACAGCAAGACTTTGTGGGTGTCTTAATTATGAAGGATCCACTTGTGCAAGGATGGCAAAAACAAGCACAAGTAAAGCTTTGATGTTTGCAACCTAAGTGCTTTTCCAGATGTTCCACTGTTAAGGAAAGTGAAGATCAGTTCCAGGTGTGTGGGGGGGCTCTTCCCTGAAGAAACCCTTATTAGTAATGATCTCTTTCTTTTTCAGCAATGCTGTGATTGCTGCAATCTGGGCCTGCGATTAAGGAGTGAGGGGAAAACCTGTGAGTCCAACATAAATCTGGGCTACCCCTGCAGCCACGTGATGCTGTCCTGCTGTGAAGGTGGAGATCACTTCATCCATCCAGAAATAAAAAAGCATCCTGAACCTTCACCAACTGCAACACCTGAGAAGAGTAGGTGTCCATTTTTAATTTGAAGACATTGCAAATGCAGGCTCCATCTCATGCTGCCACCTGGGGAGGTGCTGGGAAATAGTAGTGATGTAGCAGCACATTTGCCTTTCCTCTAGACCAAGTTTAGAGTGACTTGTTCATAAAAATTGTTTTGAAATAGAAAAACATATATGTAGGTGTTTCTAATCCTCAAAACATTCCTTCCCTTCAGTGATTTATTCCCCTCTGAACTGCACAGTGCAGAGACCTGCTGCACATCAAACAGAAGTGCTGCTTCTTCTGGGTGACATGCAGTGTGTAACATGAAGACCAGCTGAGTGCAACCTATATGGTAGCTTTTTCTCTCTTTTTTTTTTTTTTTTTTTTTTCCTTTTCTTTATTAATCTCAAAGATCTTTTTTGACCACTGGTGGACAGGAAGCCACCAATCCTTTGTAAGAAGCAAAGCTGAAGTTTGTCATTGCCTTTTTGCAGAAGCTGTCCTGAAAGCTTTCGTTTGAAATGAACCATGAGTTTTTTCCAGACAAAGTAGTCCCATCCATTACGATAGCAATGAAACCTCCAGGGAACAGATTTCCTACTGTGCTACTGAATGTTACAGGAGCTGTCCTGGTGCACGCACTGGAGAAGTCCCAAAGCACTGCAAGTTCAGTTTGTTCTTTCAACATGTGAAGTTAGCAGTGCTGAAGAACTAAGTCAAATCCCTGCAGCAAATGAAGTGTGACAAAAGAAGCATGACAAACGTGGAGCTGAAACAGCTATGCTTTCTCCCTGAGCCCAAGATCACGCTCCTTCCAGCATCACTCTGCAGCCACCTGTCATGCATGAGTTGTTTTGTAACCTCCTGGATAGGCAAGGGTTCACATTTTGTCCATTCTCTTCTCATGAGATAAATGGTGCTGTTCTTTTTTTTTATTTTCTCTTGTCAAAATAAGTAATGATTTATTTCAACTGAGCAGAGATTTCACTGAGCAACAAAATTCATGTGTATGTGTTTAAGACAAGCTGACTGTGAAACTCACTGAAGAATTCATTTTAATATCACAAAGTCTCTCTAAACTTGGTCAAGAGATGAAAGATGGTGAGTGCTTTTGCCAGTGATCAAAAACAATAGATAAGATGTCATTTTTAAGTGGGCCCCAGAATATTTGTAATGATAGCTGCAGAATTAGCTAATAAATCAGCAGGTAGTGGTGTTGAAAAGTTCCCAGACTAATTGGTTAACCTTTGCTCCTGAAATTATCAGTGTGGTTCTGCAGCGGAGGCAGTTCAGATGGGGCTTCAGTGTGGTATAGTATTATAAATGGTGATAGTGGTGTTTGTTAGGGTGAAAGGGGAGCTTGTGACCTCCCAACATCAGTCTTTTTTTCTGTGGCTCCTGTGAAACGTCTGTCTGTACATCTCTACTGAAAGACACAGTGGACATTCAACACTGGGCTTATCTTCAGGATGGATGCATTTTCTCCTGTCCATGAAGTAACTAACTATTTTGGGTAGATTTTACTGTATCTGGAGTGTGCATGAACAAATGCTCCATACTGTACAGACCAACTGCCAGAGCACTTGGTAGAGAACCAGCATGTTTTGTTCTGTGTTAGTTTCAGAGACGGAAGATCACAATGAAGCTCTGTCCATCAGTAATGAAGCCGAACTGTCAAATAACCTTCCTGGAGATGACCTGGACGAATGTCTTCTGTATGGTGGGGAGCTCTGTCAGCATTTGTGTATAAACACTGTGGGGTCCTACAAGTGTTCGTGTTTCCCAGAATTTACTTTGCAAGAAGACGGGACCAGCTGCTCTCCAGGTGAGGAACGTGAGCAGGAAACACTGTGAATAATAGTGGCCTTCTGCTGCCTTTACTGATCTAGCAAAGGTTGTTTTTTTTTATCTTCTTTGTAGATGGATGGTGAAGTTTTTAACAGGGATATTTTCCCTGGAAATTGTGCTGGTTAAAGATGTCAAGAAAAACAACACCCTGGGAAACTTAGATTGTGTTTCATTTTTTGTGTATCTGTGGCATAACATCAGGGTGGGCATTTAATGTTTTCAAAGCAAGACTGTTTCCACTTTTCAGACAAGGAATTGTGAAGATTGTTAATAGAATATCTTTTCTCTTTCACAGTTGGCTTTCCTTTAGACAAACCTTATTCACTTCAGACACACAGCATTACTTCCCGAACTTCAATTTTTATCTTAAATCATTAAAATCTTTCAGTGATACAAAATCCAAATATGTCCATTGTAGAGGAAGTCATGAAAAGAGCATTTATTGTGTAGTAATTGTATTGATGTCTGGATTTTTCCAATGGCAAGATTTCAAATCAGATAACCTAAAAATTTGAAACCTTAGATTAGTTACAAGTGTTTTCAATTACTTAACAAGCAAAAGAAGTGTTGCTATCCCATGACAAAATTCCTCAGACTTCAGATTCTTTCTGCCCAAGCCAAATAATGAGCATTCATTATGTCATTCTTCTCAACATGATGTTACAGCACTTACATCAATAATGTGTTTGACAGCGTTTCTGCAGCAGCTGTCTGCTCTGTTATGTGTATTAAAATTCTGGGGAAAGAGCCTGATCCAAAAGAGGTAAAGAAAGTGGTTCTTATTTTAGTTCTGCAAAATTTGGCTGGATCATCCACCTGGAGCATATCTGTGTTTTTTGTTTTGCTTTGCTTCTCTCATTACTAAGTCCACTGAAATGCGGATTTGGGTTAATCTTGTATCTGAGGAGTCAGTATTCTTGGCAGACCCACAAGACTGCAGTGCTTATGGCTGTGCCAAGAGGTGTAGAGGGGTTTACAGAGCTCAGCTGAGACAGAGAGTTCTGTGGGGGAGAGGACTGTGAATGACACAGCTGAGATGCATAGGCAGAGTGAAGTGTAGATGGATTGCTATTGTCATCACGTCGTGTTGAGTCCAATTAAAACTGCAGGGCACTTCCCTCACTATCCATGTCTAAAGCATACGTGCTCTTCCTGCCAGTGTGGCATTCTGGCCTTTTGCTCCTCATCATTCCCCTGTGTATGTGCACATCTGTCATGTTCTGAGTGTGGAGGCCTTCATCAGACATCTTTAAATCTCACACTGCTGTCCTGTGGGTAGATGCCATGTTTTGTGTTTCTACCTTCCCCAGTGCCTTGTGGCATTTGGATATGCCATAATCGCGTGTCTTCCATTGGTTTTTCTTGTATTGTGGCCCATTGTTTGGGTTTATTTGTGATGAAATCACTCTTGGTTTGTTTTATTTGTGATGAAATCACTCTTCCCCACCTAAAACTTGTATAGCATTTGCACTTATTTGTTTACTGTTGTCACTGTTTGTTGGGTCATGTTTTTCCCTGGCTGATGAGAAATACGGATTTGAGTTTATGTTTTGATGATATTTAGAAGCTGGATTACTCTTAGCAATGTAACAGAGCTTCTTTAAAATAATAATAATTTAAAAAAAAAAAACAAAAAAACACAACAAACCAAAATCCCATTCTGATACCTTTGAAGTTACTGTTTGCTAGAAATCTTGATGACAGCAGCTGTTATGTCTTCCACTTGGCTTCGTAAAAGCCATTGCAGGGTATCCTTTTAAAGGTGAGCATCTGCTTTTCATTTTTATTGAAATACAGAAAAAGTTTGAACTTGTTTTGGGTTCTGCTTTTTTTCCCTCTTACTCCAGATGAAAAACAGCCACTATCCTTAAAATAAATCATGATTTGAAAAAATCATTTTGATTCATTAGATGTTGATGTATTTTACTCTATGGAAGTTATCCAACCAAACTCCCTAGTCCGTATCCATGATGTTTGTGAGCGTCTCCATTAACTTGCAGCACTGTGTGTGTGTGCACTGTTACACTTGTTCACATCAAACACTTGGCACCCTGCAAAACAAACTGCTCAGCTCCATACATAGATGTCCACGTCATAAAAATGTTTTCTCCTACAAACCATAATGAAATGGGATGAATGCAACTGGTACTCTTACCGTGGCGTTCCTGCAGGACATGATGCCACCCCTAACCCAGATCTGCATCTCTTCCTTACAGATCCTGACCGAGAGCAGGTGACAAGGCTGGAAGTAGAAGCCACTATTCCCCCAGCAGCCTCTCCTTCTCAGCCTCTTCTCATTGTGTCCTTACAAGAAGAGCAGGATAAGTGTAAAGGTATGTCAGAGGGATAAATTGCAGATGCAAATGGATGAGGAATGTTTGAAGAGCCAGAAGAAAATTCTGCACATCCCTTCACCGATCTGATTTCAGTGCACATCCTCAGTTATTTACCTCTGGTGTCAGCCTGAGGAATTATCAAGGGAAACCTGAGGAGGTAATTGGAGGCTGTACTCTGATTTCAGGGTTATTACACACCTGCTATTTAGTTTAAAGTAACCACCTCAGCTGTGCAGTGTAACTTAAACAATAGAGGTGGCACAGGTGTGTTTCTGTGTAATAGGAGGATTGTAAGTAATGATTAGGGACTCCTGGACAGGTTGTTTACAAACTGCACTCCCCATTGTCTAAGATGGGAGTATATTCTGATGACCCAGACATTTGTAACTTCAGCTGATCTGTGTTGTGAATACTAATGTATTTTGCAATATTATTTTGTACAGATAACGGCCCCTGCAAGCATATCTGCAGTGTTGTGGAAGGCAATGTTGTATGCTCATGTTTGTCTGGATACACTATCATGGCTGATGGGATTTCTTGTGAAGGTAAGTGGTTGAGGTTCAACACAGAGACATAGCTAAAACATTTTTGAATCAGAGAATCAGAGAATGGCTTAGGTTGGAAGAGACCTTAAAGATCATCTAGTTCCAACCCCTGCCATGGGCAGGATTGCCCCCCAGCAGATTAGGCTGCCTAGGGACCCATCTGTCTTGGTCTTGAAAATCTCCAGGGATGAGGCATCCACAGCTTCTGTGGGCAACCTTTGCCAGTACTTCACCACCCTGAATAGAGAATTTCCACCTACCATCCAACCCGTCTCCTTTTTTTTCAGTTTAAATCCATTTCCAGAGTCTGTGTACTTGATAAAGATGTTGAAGAGCACCAGTCCCAAGATGGACCCCTGGGGGACACCACTTGCAACAGGGCTCCACCTGGACATAGATCCATTGACCACAACCCTGAATTCCATCCTTTATATCCATCCATCTCCAATTTAGGGATAAGGATGTGGTCTGGAAGCATGTCAGAAGCCTTACACGAGGCCAGCTAGATGACACCCATTGCCCTTACTTTGTCCACCAATGCTGTCAGTAGATCCCAATGGTCTTTGACCTCAAGGTATTTCCTTAAGGAGTCTTTATTTTCAGTACTGTGAATTGCAGTACAGAGAAAACTACATCCTCTGAGAGCATTTGGCTCTCAGAGGGCCAAATACCAAGGAATACCAAGACTGCTTCTCAACTAACTTCTGAAGCATGTCTATGCAGTCTGCCTATTATCAGATGAAGACAAGCCTGGTTTTATGCTCTTTTCCCCCCATGTCTCAAACTACTTCTGAGCCCTCCTAGGTGCCTCTTCCCAATGCCTCTTCTCCCCAGGCTATGTCTGTTCAGCTAAAGACATGCAGTTTCTCTTCCTGAGAATAGAAGCTGACAAAATGTAGGCTTCCTTGAGGAACCCTCCCAGAGCTACAGATCTGCTGAGTTATCTGTTTTGACTGTTGGGTTTTTGTTGTTGTTGGGTTTTTTTGCTTACCTTGAAAATTTGAAGCTTCACTGGTAGGATGAATGTGCTGTTGTGAGCTGGTACAGCTCCCTGGGTTTTACTTGACACTGAAATTGAGGCATCCACATGATGAACAGTGAATTTCAAGGCTGCATCATTATAATTCACATTATATAAATTTTAAATTGACATGTTTGTTTAGTCACAAAGGATGTCTTTGCACCAGAAAGATTTTGGAGTCAGAAGCAATGCCCTGTGACATACCTTTATTATAAATCTGTAAGTATGAGAACAATAACAGCCAGCAGTGAAATGCAAGTAGAAGTTTCTGAACTCAGAATTGCTCACAAGTGATCCACATCCCTCTTAATCTCATATCTTATTGAATAACAAATCATTTTGATGGAATTCCAGATAGCCTGTGAAGAAAATGGGAATTTAATATCACCAGATAAATATTCACTGTGCATTGCTTACTCAACTGTGGTGGAAGCTAATTTGATTAATTAATGTCAGAATCAAAAGGGACATTTCAAGGCAGTCACTTTCCTGCAGGAGGTGAAGAAATTCTGGAATGTCACTGGAAGTAATGAGTTTCAATTTTAGTAGGAAACATTTATAATCTACATTTTAAAAAGTATTTGATGGTAAGGGTGATAATGCACTGGAATAGGTTACCTGGGAAGTGTGTGTGTTACATCTGTGTCACTGCCTACTTTTAATCATAGAATCATAGAATGGGCTGGACTGAAAAGGACCACAATGATCATCTAGTTTCAACCCACTGCTATGTGCAGGGTCACCAACCAGCAGACCAGGCTGCCCAGAGCCACATCCAGCCTGGCCTTGAATGCCTCCAGGGATGGGGCATCCACAGCCTCCTTGGGCAACCTGTTTTAAGAAGGGCTCCTTCTGGGATGACAAGGGTGCAGAGGCATGAGCAAGCACTAGATGATCTCTGATGGTTTGTTCCAGCTGTGTGTTCAGTGTAACACTGTGTTTTTTATAGCAAGTGCTGATGTGGTAGCTCCAAGGCACTTCATTTAGAGATCTCCAGTGTGAAAGTAATGTTGTTTCATTTCAGAAACTGTTCTAATAGAATTCTATTTCTCCCTTTTGGTTGCAACATGTTGATACAGATTTGGATGAGTGCCTCACAGGTGCTCACGCTTGTTCCAGAGGACAATTATGTGTGAACACATTGGGATCATTCTACTGTGTCAACCACAGAGTGATCTGTTCAGAGGGCTTTATACTCAACAGGCATAGAGAATGTGTTGGTAAGATGATAGGTATAAACGGTTCACCACAGCATCATAATTCTCCATGCTCTGCAATGCATTTAAACCATTTGTGCTAAAATTTTCTCTAGCCATCTTTGCATATGACATTTCAATATGAGTTAGTAAAAACACATGTGCACGGCTTGCTCAGCCACTTAACATCATGAGTTGTATGCTGTTCAGCTTTTTCCTTAGCAATACATCCTCAGGATACAAATAACTTTGCTTGAAAATCATAAAAGTTCATAACCTTGATGAGCACGGCTGTACTGATGACTGTTAAAGTGGACTGACTGCATAGCAGTTGATCTGCTTGCACAGTGTCCATACTGCCAAATTCCCAGACATAGGAAACAGCAAAACTTCATAAAGCCAAAGAAGTCTGCGTAGGCCCAGGCAGTGGAAAAGATCTGTTCAAGTATGTTGGAATTCTAAAATTCGGATTAGTCCTCTGATAATTCTGGCACAAATTTCTTGTATAAAAGTCAAAGATGCATCATACTTTTGCTATATCATCCCTGCTATTAATGTTCTTGTAGGGAACTAATCTATTTTTAAAAGCGTGTTTGGGAGATTTTCATTTTCTTTAAGAAGGCAGGACCTGTGCTTATGAAAGAATTTCTGTTTTGGGTACTTTTCCACAGGCCTGATCTGCTGTAGTGTTATGTGGTAATGCCTGGAAAAACAGAGCGCACGGAGACCTGTCACTGATGAAAGCACTGGCGTCTATAGCTACAATGTCATGGGTGAATGCATTCACCTTCTTCCATCTGTGTCCTTCTCCCAGTGTTTTTAACATTCTTTTTATCACCATCACGCTCTCACAGTGTCACAGCTTCAGTTTCTTTCCTATCCTTTAAAGCTCTGCGATCCCAGTGTAGTGATGAGCATCATATGGCACGAGGATGTGAGGGTGAAGTTTATACAGATTCATAGTCTAGAGTAGAAATTTGACTTACTAGCTTCTGGGTTTCCTTAAACTGTCAAAATTGGGTTAATTTGATTTTTAAAATAAAGTACACTGATAAGCATGCAAAACAAATGAAATTGGTTTTTTTTGAATAAATGGCTGAGAGAATGCCACTGGAAGGAAGGATACGTTTTGTAATACAATACTGACTTGTGAGATGGACTGTGGTACTTGCAGAGGCTGGTCTGCACGGTTTCTTCATGGCTTCACAGAGCCTGCTGCAGGTATACCATGCTGCTGAGCATAAGGTCTGGCAAGTGAGCAGCTGAAGGAGCTGCCTCACCTTGCGTTCTGCTTTTGAAGATCTTGCCATTAATCCCCCAATGTTTTTCCTGGAGTATGCATTAGTGATGTATCTGTCCTTTTCTGCATCTCTCAGCAGTGTTTTGAAGCTGAGTTGATTCACCCTTGTCAGCAACTTCAGCAGGTGCTGCAGAAGATGCCAAGTGCTTCCTTTCATTCACTTTCTTCCTTTCCTGTCCTCTATCTCGTGACATTATTATCCAGTTTTATTGTGACTAATGCAAGGCACACCTCAGGCATTGCTAATAAAACAAAAGCTACAGCTCCCATTTGTAAAGCTAAAGATCCTCTTCTGCCTCACTAAATAACAGAGCCCTTTGCTTCTTTGATGCAGGTCAGTTCTTTAAGAGGTTTCCTTGTTAAACAACCTAGGAAACGTAGATGTTTCTCTTCCTGTTGGCTAGATTCACTCCATGCTTCTATGCAGCTCTGCTCTGTGAGTGTTGCCTGGAGAACGCTTGCTGTATTTGACACTTTTCCTACATTTCTGGTCAAAGGGGAATGCCACAAGCACGTTGTACCCTCCTGATTTGTTCAACTGCTTCATTTGCAGCTATATTTCCCCAGGGGATCCTTTTCCAGCTTAGCTGATTTGTGCTTCATCTTGAACCGTCTCAAAAAAGATTTGTTCATTTGCTTGCAAATTGTTGTTGTTACCATTATGTAACTGCATACTTGAGGGATGGGAGGAACAGCCCTTGCACGGCGACAGAACAGCTGATAACCTTTTCTTTGTTGAGTTTCCTTTAGTCAGACTCTGTAAGCTGATAATTCCAGGTGCACTCAGGAGCAGGCATCCAGAATTCCCTGCAGCCAGTCATGCGCAATGAAGAGCCACCAGCTGCTTGAATCGAGCACACTGGCTTTGTGTGATGCTGTGAAAAGACATTAAAATATCTTTAGGGATAAAAGCTCCACGTTCCTCAGAGCCAGGCTGGGGGTTTTTAACGAGGATTGCTTTTCCTGGTGACTTTCAGGCAAAGTCATTACCACCACCCAGATGCACTGATGAGAGTGCATCTCCCATGCAAAAACTTTTCCTCCCACCAGAGTGAGCAGTGAGTGGTCATTTTATTGCTGACCCGTAGGGACTGTACCTCAGCAAAGCCACTAAGAAATGGTGGCAAAATAATGACAGATCTAAATAAAACAGCTTGTGTTCCATGAAACAAATTGAGCTGATGGTATTTGAAGAGAAAGAATTCATGAGAAGCTAGAGAGCAAAAATGTTACTCTAATGTGGAAGTAAGTGCTGAAAAAAAAAAACCAGCACAGTGGTAGGTAAATGCTGATACTCCTTTGCAAAAATGTCAGCTTCTTAGATGCATGAAAGCTGAGTATATCTATTTTATGTGCCCCTGTGCTCAACAACAGTTCCAGGAGAAAGAGAAGTATTATATGATTAAATTTCATTCTGGCTTTTACTGACATAAGGGGAGGAACATTGCCACACATATAGAGCTAATATTTCTCAAAAATTAACTGTATAACTTGTTTTTTATATTTTACTAAATTAATTTTTCTTCTTTCCCATTTTTATATATAAAACCTTGTCCTAACTCGCAGTCTCAATCATGCTGGAAGACAGTTCTTGTTCAGTGTTGGCCATTAAATTTGTTTGAAAGTGAAAATATTTTTTTTTACCCAGTGTTCTGCCAAACATCTTATAGACTTCTTGTTTCTGCTACTGGAGACAGATGGCACTTTTGATTTTATGGGTAACTGGTAGGAAAGACAAAAGGGTGTAACTAAACATACTCAGACCTCACTTCCCTCTACCTTGTGCCATAAGGATGGAGCAGAACGATACTGGGTGCAGCCTGGGTTGAAAAAAGCTACTTCAGAAGCTTGTGTGCCTGCCCCAACACAAACTGGGACCATCATTAACCAAAGATGCCTTTTCCCACCCTCATGTGATGGGACACTGTTTTGTGATTGGCTTTGATGGTGATAGCAACAGCATGGATTGACAGAAATGCATGAGAAAGATGCTGCAGTTCTTCTGTAATCCCCTTCTGTGGCATGGCTCCTAGTTTAGTCTTTGCATCTCAGCCCATGTCACAATCATTAGGTTTCAGATGTTGGCAGGGTATGACTTGTGACAAAACTTTCACTGAAAGTAAAGATTCCGTGTACCATCTTCTACATTTCTGCGATTTTGATTTCCTAAATTGCGTTCTGACCAGCTCTGCTTGGTTTCTCAAGTACTCAGGATTTTGGAAATGAATTCAAAAACCATAGGCAAAACATGAAATTTTATTAGTTTTTTTTTCTTTCTTTTTGTTTTTCCATGAAATCTTAACGCTCTTTTTACCTGTGTGCATGCACTGCTCAGATAGAAAACTTCTTATAGATTCAAGTTGTATTTCAGACATGGTTTCCTCCTTGCTGCAATTTTCATACTGAAGTGATTTAAGTTTGTAAAATGCAGTGCTGTGCTGACAGTGTATTTATATGGGACCTTTTATGGCTGGCAAGAAAAGGTCACTTGTAAAGCCTTTTAAATCAGTGTCAAGACTTGCTCCAATACATGGTGTTGAGTGGCTCTTCATTGATATTTTTGCCCTCTTTTTTGATTTCAAGTTTATTCAAGAACTAAGTCTACTTAGGTGGGAAAGGTCCACACAGCTGATGTTCTTCTCTCAGCACGAGTTTCTTTTATTTTGATTTTTTCCCCAAGATCACTTTTGAGAATACTGTTGTTACTCTTCATGGTAATGGGTAAAAACTAGGAAACTGCAAGGGAGACATTGCCTTGCAAAGGCTTTGGAATAGTACCTGCCAATGAATGAAGAACCATCATGTGGGACAGGCAGAAAGATATCCAGCCAACAGCAGTGACCTTCTGCAAATAGCTGACTTTGGAAAGCAAGTGAACAGCATGTGAATAGCAATAGCTAACTACAACAAAGCAAACACACACACACAAAAACCCCAACAAATAAAATACCCATCAACAAAACAGAACCAAAAACCAACCCCATAAATAAGTGAAAAGTGGGTTGACATTAAGTTAGCACACTGGTCTGACAAATCTCAGTGCACATCACCCGTTAGCTGACCTCAGCAGGAACAGAAACATCGTGGTGCTGCTCTTCGTTTGTTTGGCAGAGAACAAGCTGACACATTTTTGAAGACAAAAGCCTCTAACAGGGCTTTTCCTGTTTTCATTCTCCTCAAGGGGAAGTAATATCTCTGATGTTGTACTTATCTGGGAACGATGTTCTACAGCCAAAGCAAAAATCTTATTTAAACAATGCTTGCTTTATTGTGTGGTGGGCAGTCAGATGACTGGTGGTAGCTTTGGTCCTGTTTGGCATCTCTAGAAATGTATCTTAGCTGTATGGAGATGTGTGAAAGTGTTTGATTGTGTGCGGAATGGGAAGAAAGTTTCTCTTCCCAAATTCTCCTTCTCCTTGTTGCTTTTATTTGCTCATCTTGCATCCCTCACTTTCACTATTAAAACAAGCAAAACATGAATTGGAAATTATTTTATCAGAGCTATCACAACGTGTGGCGTATTTTTTCCAAACTGTATCCTATGTTCCACAATCTAGTATTTAAGTGATTCTTTAAATAACTTTTCCAGTGCTCTACCTGCTGAAATCAGATCTTTTAAAGGACGTAAAAACAAATTTGTGAAGTTGATTTAGCCTTTGGGGTTCCTCCCTCTGTGTTTTCATGTTTATCCAGTCACAATTACATTATTCCTTGGGAAGTAAATCCATTCCATGACTCCACCTGCAGCAATGCAGGAGGTTTCAGTACCTATCTCTCACAGCAGTTCCACACCAGCAGCTCCTCTATGTGGCAAGAAGCAGCAGGACTGATACACAGTCTGAGCTACGTGGTAATGAGCAATCAGTGCTTTCACTCTCAGTTATCCAAGAGGTTTCTATCCAGTTAATTTGGAAGCCCTCTGCCCATCACTGTATTTCATCATTTCTGTCATAGAATCATAGAATGACTTAGGTTGAAGGAGCTTTAAAGCTCATCCAGCCCCAACCCCCTGCCATGGGCTGATCGCCTCCATCAGCTCAGGCTGCCCAGGGCCCCATCCAGCCTGGCCCTGAATCCTCCAGCGATGGGGCACCAGCAACGTCTCTGGGCAGCAGTGCCAGCACTGCACCACCCGCTGAGTAAAAAAAATTCTTCCTAGCATCTACCCTAAATCTCTCTTCTTTCAGTTTAAAGCCATTCCCTCTTCTCCATCCCCCATCCTGCACTATTCCCTGAATGTCTGGGGAGGAGGGAGAAGGAAATCTCTCTGCCATTGTATCTCTTAATGTTACTCTGCATTAGCAGAAGGAGCTGAGACAAAACACCCTTCATCAGAACGCTGCGGCAACATCTGCACTGAATATCTTTTGCAATAAATGATTTGACTTGAGCTTTTGACTCCTTCCAAACAAGAGCAGGAAGAGGCAAACTTCTTCATAAACATGAGGCACTGAATCGTTTAACCATTTCTTGTAGACATCAACGAATGTGTAACGGATGCGCACACCTGCCAGCGGAGAGAACACTGCGTCAACACGATGGGATCATTTAAATGTCTCCAGGAATTGAGCTGTCAGCCGGGTTATGAACTTAAGGATGGAGAATGTGTTGGTAAGACAAGTGTTTTTCCACTGAAGCAATTGCTTTTATCAGGAAGGGAAGGAAAGGGATTACAGAGCATTTTATTGTTGCTGGTCTGTGATACCAGGATTGAACTAAAAAAGGCTGAACTTCATGGAAATGTTTGGCTTTTTAAGTCTGTTCAGTACTTTCACTTATTTGAAGCAATTTCCAACAATAACTATAAGTAATTTGGAAAATATAGGAAACCTTGTGAAGTAGGATTTGCACTGTTTTCAGTGAGTCAGAGTGAGATCTCAGTAATGGAGGAATTCACACTGTGCTACTCTGGGAAGCTCTGCTCTTCTCTGAAGGGGCTGATGCTGTTTGCTGTCGGACTGAATCACAGCCTGAACAGATCATGGGGCTGGCTCAGTGCGGGCCTTCCTGTGTTTAGGATGTCTGTCTGCATTTATTTACATTGTGAATGGTCATGGGGTTAAGAAGTTATTCTTTAACCCTCACCCCCCTTCTTGGTCTGTATGTGGATCTAATGGAGGAGCTAAGCTCAGCAGCAATAGCCTAGCAGAAGTTGCTCTGCAGTATATGAGTGTGCATAAAACACGTGTGCCCTGCTTTCCAGGACAAAATCAGAGTTTTAATTATTTTTATACAAGAGCTTCCTGCCAGCTGGAATAGGAGGTACCTAAGGAAAGAACTTAGCTCCTGGCATGTAGCTCAACGTTGTAAAACAGAAATAATCTGAACTCTTGCTTTACATATAGCACTCAGAAGTAAACTTTGGATTTCTTAGGCTGTCAGTTATATTCCATTAGAGTCTGTGACATATCAAACATTTATTACCAATATGGCGTATCTAACATTTATTACCATTGTAAATTGTTCTCTAATCTTAAAGTTAGGTTGCAACAAGTTACCAAATTTACAATTTGTTATTATAAGTAGCCTTAAAATTAATAACTTACGGGAAAGACTGCAATTTGAGATCTACTCAGTGTAAAACTGCCCACATGTGACTGTTTGTTTTGCAGTTTTATGAAATCATGAATTCCACATTTTTCTTTATCTTAGTCTCTACATATAGTGGAAAGAGTTATTAATGTAATTATCTTCTGGGAGGCTGGTGATGTTCTCTTGTGACCTTAACATTTGTCTGAAGAGTTGGAATGGAAAGAGGGGAGGGGGCCAGTGGTTCTCCCCTTGTTTGCTTGGAGGACTAGGAGTTCCTCATGTGTGCCTGTATACAAAATGAAATCCTAACCCTGTTCAAGTGAGGTTCTCTTTTATTATCAGAATAAGTGGAAGCTTCCTTATACCTAGAATTCTTGAGGTATGTAAATTGTACGAGACTATTTTGCTTTTGAAATAGTGTCGTATATGTTTTATTCACACTCAGTTTTAATTTGAGCCTTCAGGATTGAAATCTGCAGATGTTTCAGAATTTGTGGTTTGCAAGAGATGCTGTGAACACAGCAACAGGGACCTGCACCAAACCATGGCACGACCTACCAAGTTCTGAAGCTGGTGCTGATGTGGGTGTTGAAGAGCAAACACAGCAAACCCTCAATTCTCCCAAAGGCAGTTTTGAATGTTTTATTTAAATGTTGCCTCCTAACTTCCTTTCTGAGTAAAGTTATAAACTAGCCAGGAAGTCTATTGAAAATGACTAGTCACAATTTGGTGTTGTGATCTGCTTAACAGATATTGATGAGTGCGAGAGAGGAACTCACAGCTGCAAAGTAAACTTCGTTTGTCAGAATACAGAAGGGTCATTCTACTGTGAGTCAAAGCAGCGTTGCATGGATGGGTTTTTACAAGATCCTGAGGGAAACTGTGTTGGTAAGTTTGACCAATCACACTGGTAAAGCAGCACTGCCAAACTTCTCTCCCATTTAGCTTGTCCCAGGGGTGTGCATTGACTGCATGTATTTTTCTTTACATCCTGCTGTGAACTTAAACACTGCTGCTCTTTTAGAGATATGCACACTTGCATATTGAATTTGAAACTGCTATCATAGCAGGCCTCCTTCAGCTTTTATCTTCAGAGAATAATAAATTGAAATGAAGGAAAAGAAGTGTCAGCTGGAAGAAAACAGACCTGAAAGGTTAAATAGCTTTTCTCACTATTCTAATTCTTTTTTCTTTTTTTTTTTCCCCACCAGATATTAATGAATGTACATCTCTTCCTGAGCCATGTAAGCCAGGATTCAACTGTATCAATACAGTTGGGTCTTACACCTGCCAGAGGAACATGTTGACATGCAGCAGAGGCTACCACTCCAATGAGGATGGGACTCGATGTGTTGGTAAGACCAAGCTCCAGTCTGTGCCCAGTTGCCTTCTCAGAGGAGAAAGTACATTTCAGATCTAAAATAACTGTCTTGAGTTACTTCCAACAGTGGGAATTTGTTACATGCATTTGCTGTCCAAGTGGCTTAATGGTTTATTTGCATTCCAGGATGCTTCACTGCTGCAGGGAGTTCTGGGTACCATGAGTGACGTTGCTTTTGGCTGCTGATGAGATTTTCTGACTTCCTTTCTGCAATGAATATGATTTATTTGCTTTCTAATCTCATTCTGCCACTCGAATCACGATCCTTCACTGTTTTGCACAGTATCTCACTATAAGCAGTATGACCCAAACCTGTGTATTGCAGCAAATTGGAAACACTGACTTTGTGGACTCAGGAGGGTAGTATCGAGTGCATGTTCTTTGTGGCACTACAGGTGTTCCCCATTCATACCCAGTTGTGCACATTTAGGATAAATTCTAATTTTCTTGTGAAGAGGATATTGGGATATTCACATATACTGGCATACAGCTCGATACTGTCTTGTATTTGTTCCAATGGGTGTATGGAGTTACTGACTCAGAATATCATATGTCCTATCTTACTAGCATTTGTTCCAAAAATGAGCCTATTAGGAACTAGAGGGCTGAAAGCTTGATCCTTGGTAGGGCTGGCTTTGTATGTCTCAATCCCTATGTCCTGTGCAGCATGGGGTTGGAAATCATAAATGCCAAATTAACACTTGTAATGTCACTTGTTGTGATCACTTGAGAGTGGTGAAATCTTAATTTTTACTTAAGTTCCCTTTGAACTTAAGGAAGGATGGCAAATAAAATTTGTTTGTGTGGTTCTGCAGGTGAGTGGTAGCCATGTTTGAGGCTATCTGTTAACCTGGCCATGTGCACTGGCCTGCAGGGAAACTGGTGGAATGGATAGGAGACCCCAGGCAAAAAATTTCCTCTTTCTCATTTTTTCTTCTTATTATCCTTCATGATTTTTCCCCCAGGGCCATCCAAGCTCTCCTTTGCCAGTGAGAAAATGGGAAAAAATTGGAAGTGGGGGAAGACAGGAACAGTTAACATGTACCTGAGGAAACTGAGAAAGCTTCCTAATACAGCTCTAAGGAGTTGCTTCTTAAACTTAGGACAGCAGTGTGGTCTCATTTGCTGTCTTGTCATACAGTAGCCTGAAATATTCTGAGTGTTATGAAAGGAAGGCCCAATAGCCCCATCTGTCCCAGCTGTTGTGTAAAAAGAGTTCTTCCTATGATTGTTATTAGTCCTTTTTCAGCAAAGACAATAGGATTAGGTACATTTGTTCCACTTGAAGTGTGGTGAATCCAAGGGTTTTGGGGCCACTACTCTAATTACTGATGATACTTTTGTCTTTAATTTACATGACTGACTGTTTTTAAGGAGGTTATATCAGGGTGCTGCTCTAGTTTGGGAAAACTGATGATTGATGTTGACTGGTGATTTCTGCTGTGTGAACTCTGTCTGCAGTCTCTGTCTTTCCATATTTATTGGTGTGACTTCCTTTGGGGAGGTGGAAAGCATGGAGCTGAAAATGAAGAACATGTGGCCCTAGCTTCCCTTCTCTATGCTAAAAGCTATTTTCATCAAGGCATTACAATGGTTAACCAGATTCCTGGTTCAGATTTTCTCACTGTAGTAAATTCATCATCTGGACATGCCTCTCCAGCAGAACTAAGTTTCTGTGGTCACTTCTGTTTAGAGGATTCTCCTCTCTTCAAAATGATTGTTCTTCTAGTCCAGTAAATGAATTATTAAAAGCTACCTCTTAGATTTAGCTGAAAAGCACTGTATCTATCGTGAAGTACATCATAGTTCTGGTGGGATGATATATGAGAACTAGTTAATGCAGCAGGAGATATAGTTTGGACAAACTAATGAGGTGGTTGCACTCACAAATTCATTGCAAATAAAACTGCTAGTTTACAAATGTTTATCCACAATTAAAAACTTCTTTGTGGTGATACTACCTTTGGTCTTAGAAAAAAATGGGAAGACAGCATTTCAGCAGAAATGAGCCTATCAGGAATCCTTTGCTGGATGAGTGGTATTCCTGCCATCACTGGCCCCAGTGCAGGCAGGGACTGCGTTGGTAGGAATCTCTGCTGAAGTATTTGCACCTCTCACCATGGTACAGCTTCTCCAAATCCAAGATTCTGTTATAAAGAGCTTGCTCCCATTTCCCTATCATTTTACAGAAAGTGACTCTTTCCAGCGTTGCTTGGTGAAGAACTGTCCAGGAACCCTTTGAAATGAAATAGTGCTTGAATTTGTGAGTTGAAATAGGGCAGCAACTGAAAGCTCTGCAGTAAGGAGATCCTCCTACCTTAGACTGACATCCTAATTAATTTTACATGAACAGTGACTTGGATTGTCAGAGTAACAGAAGATGTGGATAATGGGAAGGAAGCAGGATCTGATGGCTTAGGAAATGGCAGTACTCAGAATACTTGAAGAAATACAAGTTTCTGTGGGTTAATCACACTTTCTGATGCTTCTTGTCACAGATGGTTACAGGGAATTGTTAAACACTGATGAGCTATTTAGCCACGTTGCGAGTCTTGTAAATCAGCCTGTATTGAAAACTCTCATCTCCATCTGCGAGTTTTTAAAATGAGATTGGAAGTGGTGCATGTGAGTGCAGAAGCAGCTAATTTGTTGGTGTTGGATTTCAGCTGAGAAACCATCAGGAATATAAAAATGTGAGTTGACTGGGATAAGTAAAAAAGATCAACAGTGAGGAAGAGCAAAAGGTACACGACAGAAGCAGGATTGAAAGGACAACTGGAGTTGAAAACAGCAATTGCTTTTGTTTAAGGGATGAGCAGAATTTCTGGCTGGTTCTTGGTTTGCTTTAAAAGGCTTGAGGTGATTCACACAATGGCAGAGCGTCAGAACAGGGTGTTTAAATGGTATGGTGTGATCAGAATTAAAATGTGTTTACACTGAAATGCAGGAAATGCTGAAAAGCTCCATTGCGTTGAAAGTTGCCACTTACTGCTTTTCAAAAGTTTGGCTTAGAGATATGTGAGTCTGACTCTGAGAAGAACCGAGTGGACAAAACAATATTCTCTCTGCTCTGTCAATTAGACGAATCATATACTTTCTCTCCTTCTTATTTACTTCTGTTTTTATTTTCTTTCCATAAAAGCAAACTTTGTTTAAACTAATGGCTTTCTCTGGTTCTGCAGATGTGGATGAATGTCAGACTGGTGTACACCGCTGTGGCGAAGGACAGATTTGTCATAACCTTCCTGGGGCTTATCGCTGTGACTGCAAGATGGGCTATCAGTATGATGCATTCAGCAGGAGCTGCATTGGTATGTAAGGTGCAAGCTGAGATGAATAAACTGATTGATTGAGCCTTGGACCTCAAGGCAGTATTTAGCACCATTGTAGTGTGCAGTTATTAGTTCTGCAATGCAGTGCCTCAGAAGATAATGGATTCAACTCCAAAGCAGCCGCCGCTCAGTCAACCAGCTATTTAGAGCTCTGCCCCTCTGCAATGGGTGTTGCAGGTGTCCTTGGTTCAGTTTGGCTGCAGGTTATCAGTTAAAGTCATCTGCAAAGTATTTTCCTGCAGGTTATGCTTCTCCTGCTGAGGAAATTTGTCTTCCTAAAAGTCTTCACAACTTCCTTCGTAAGAGACCATGATAGAGCATTTTGTGTTTTATCACTGCTATACACCAATTAGAGCACAAAGGCAAACAGGAAAAAATCTGAGGTTGCAGCATTTCATGCTCTGCAAATCAATCTCTGACACTTAAAAAAATATCCTGCATCTCTTTTAATGCTTTTGTTTCTAAGTCAATTGTATATGTGCTTGTTATCTTGTCAGATATAAATGAATGCTGGAATTACCCTGGACGCCTGTGTCAGCACACGTGTGAGAACACCCCCGGCTCCTACCATTGCACTTGTTCTTCTGGTTTCCACTTGTCTTATGATGGAAAGCATTGTGAAGGTATGAGACTTGTTCTCCACGAGGATCAATTTGCAATGTGAATTAAGGAACTCTAGAGAAGCTGAGGTGAAGTGTAAATACAGGAAGCCTATGATGTATGCATGCTGAAATTTTAGGTACTGAACTAAGCATTCAAATTCAGACTGGAGCAGACACATCCTAGTGCCTTGTACTTACCCAGTCAGCAATGCACCTGAAAGTTTCCCCATAGCTCCCACACAAGCAGTGTTCCCAGGAGCTGGGCAAAGCTGCCAGGTTTGCAAAACTGATTCCCAACATATCCTTACAAGATTAAGACACACAAAGCATTCTGGGCACCTTTTCCTACCCCATCTTCTATTTACTAATAATTCATTTAAAGCTATAATCTCTTAAGTTTCTTTTTTTTTTTTTTCAATAGAGTGCTAAGTGATTGGCAAGGTTCAACCTTGGTTTTGGACATCTCTGTCTTATGCAACACAACCATCATTTAGAAGCTATGTCACATAGTTTAGGCATTTGGGCTTTGGAAAACATTGGTGTATTGAAGCAGAGGGGATTATAGTTTTAATGCATACCAAGATACTCTTCTCCAACTAAAGAACAGCTCTTATGACAAACCTTCCAGTATATTTGGATGCATTACTTTTACAAATTCACTGGTGCTCACTATGAGTAAAACTTCTCTTGATATTTATTTTCTTTTATCAAAAATCTGGAGCTATTGTAAATTTCTGTTGTTGCAGTGGATGGGAGTGCTGCAATTGAAATGTTATAGTGGAACATCTTTTGTCCCACAGTCACTTTTGCCGTGACTTAAAAAGCAACCAAAAATTCTGTAGAAGCTTTTGAATCCCATTGAAAATATTTCAGCTAAAACAAAGCTTTGATTTTTTCATTTTTTGTTTCTGCAATTTCTTCTTTTCCTTCACATACCTTTTCCTTTCCTTCCAGAGGAGAGAAAAAGGAAAGAATGGTAGCATTAAAATAGGAGAGATTTCATTCAAATTTTAATATAAATGAAACTTGGTAGTGACGAAACTTTAAAAAAAAAAAAAAAAAAAAAGAATGAAAAGATTTATTTATTTTATTTTTAACCTATTTTTAGGTAGCATATAAAGTTCAAAACAAATGTTGGCATGCTTACATTGGTATATACATATACATATATAAGTGAAATTCAGGTGCATTGTACATCCTCATGCTCCTGGTTTTCTGCACAAGGAGCAGACACATCTCCTTGGGACAAATAAGCTTATCTTTATCCACTCCATCAGAAGAATGTGATAGCTGATTTTAGAGGCAAGAAGTAATGAGAGATTATGTTCTGAACCAGTAAAGCAATGTCTGTACCTTTGTTTTTGGGTGCAGATGTGAATGAATGTGATACAAGTCCCTGCAGCCAGGAGTGTGCCAATGTTTACGGTTCCTATCAGTGTTACTGCAGGCAAGGTTTCCAGCTAGCAGAAGATGGCCATTCTTGTAAAGGTAAGGCTGCTGCTTTGTCGGGTCAAGTGAAGTACGTATCACTCCTTCACAGTAAGTGCTGTCTAAATTTCACCAGCACCCAATGCTGCAGGTGGTGCCTGAGGATAATTGTGAGTTACACCCTGCTGCAGAAACTGCAAATAGTAACTCCAGCTGTTGGAAAATGCAAGTCATTTTCATGCCCACTTGGGGCTGGAAGGTACCTGTGTGGCCATACAACCAGTGATGTTATTGTTTCATGGGGCTACAGCTTACAGTTGAAAAACGTGGGACGGGAGAGAGGTTTACTTATGTATCATCAGCTGTAATTACCACTCAGCCAAGGCTGGATGGAGGCTTTCTCTGACTTCTGCTGGTGAGGAGTGATTGAGCAGCAAGGTGATCAGAATGGAGTGAGGAAGGGTTTTAGCTTTTCCTCTTAACGTTCGAAATACTGACACGTACTTTAGAGAGTCTCTATTTAAGAAATGGTGAAGAAACCCACAGTCTTCCAAGCACAAGAGAGCTCCAAAAACAATCCTGGGATGGCATTTTCAAACCCAGATGTCCCCGGACTTACTGCTCCTTTCTATGAGTTCATGGAGCAGTTCAGTGTTTGATGTTTCAGAAAGCACCATCGGCCATACCAGAGCAATGTCAAATCTTCATGGTTGCATTCTTCTGTAAGAATATTTTAGAAATGAATAATGTACAAATTTCCTTGCATTGTACTGCCTTTCCTTTGAGATTTCTAATGTTCTCTCTTTTTTTTTTCTTTTCATGTTTGTAATTGTATTTTGTTGTTGTTTGTTTGTTTGTTTGTTTTCCCCAGATATCGATGAGTGCACGCAAAGCGCGGGCATTCTTTGCACTTTCCGCTGTGTGAATGTTCCTGGCAGTTACCAGTGTGCTTGTCCTGAGCAGGGATATACCATGGCAGCAAATGGAAGGACCTGTCGAGGTAAGGAGGAGCTGAAGGAACTGAAAGGAGTATGTCACGAAGGTTTAATCCTCAGAATGATCTGAGGCATAAGATTATTTAATCAAGTCTCTATTTTGGATGTTAGCCATTGTTAAAAATGACAAAATTGCCAGATATGGGTATCAACAATGTCATTTTTCCCTATTTTAGAGGAGAATGGTGAGGCTATTTAACTGTAGATGTGAGCTAATTATTTCCTAAGGGAATTCACATCATCACCTGAATTGAGGCATCTGGTTGCTGGCATGAGCACCATGGTTTATCAGATCTGTTTTTTTGGAGGTGCCAGATGTGCAAATCTGTGGCTTCGTTGTAAGTTGTGGTTTCCTGACTCAGAAAACTAGGAAAGTGAATGTAGGAGCTGTAATGGGGATGTGGGCATCCTGAAGTTTGCCACCTAATCTTAACTATGTTGGTGTTTCTCAGTATTAGCGTAACTGACATGTGTCCTCCCCTGCAACACCCCTTGTCTCCAGATTCATAGAAATGTATGCTGTGTTTTTCATCTGGTGTGCAGCTGTCTGTTTTTGAAGCAAAAATACCCAGTTTCCAGAAGATGCACTGACTCTGTAATGAAGATTGAAGATCTGATTACCTCTATGTACTCTACACGCATTCCTGCATTCGGTTACACTCACTACAAGGCATTTCCTGCTCTTACTTTTTCAGGAACGCTTCATATAGCATTTGGTTACATATTCCCTATGCTTAAATTCTTTTCTTGGTGGTAACTGCAGTGAATTTACACTGTGTAAATCACAAATGGCACGAGCATACTTGAACCTGCCTTGGACCAGAGAAATGAACTGAATGACAATAAGAATCTTCTCAAGCTGTTACTGTTTTTAATCTGATTTTGAGTAAGACTTCAGAATCCACCTCCAGTTATATCCACGTGCATTTATATTCGTATGTAAAAATCACCTTCCAGAAAACCTGCAGCTGTCACTTTCCTCAGGCTTTTGTGTTTGCCATTAATGTTGAGTGCTGGCCTGCTTGTTGCCACCTCAGCCAGCAATGAGATTGGAGACGAGGATGTGTTCCAGAGCTAATGGTGTGAGTCATTGCCTTAATCTGCCAGCACAGCTCTCCTGAGCCAGAGGTACCCAGTGTGCTCCTGGTGCTCGAGGTAGAAGAAGAACATTTGGCACATGCACATATAGATTGCACTTGTATTGTCTATCATGTGAATCCTCACTGCACTTGGTGAAAAGGGCTCCTTTTACATAGTGCATCCCTGCTGAGTTAAATGGTAACATACAGAAAACCTTTCCAAAGAACCTATGCCATCTGGTACGTGCAGCCTCCTTAGAGCATGAAGTTGGTCTACTCGCAGAATTCAGCAGATGTGCAGCAGCTCTGCGGATGGCTGGGTAAGCTGGCACTTCGTCAGGCATTGGAAAGAACACTTGGATATTTGCCTTTTTTTTTGCACAAATAAACACACAACACAGACTTCTGAGCTCTGCAAGCGCGTAGTTACAAGTCTGGGCAGGGTTAGGTTTTGAGGCCTCCTGAAAATATGGTCAGAAAAACAGTCTGAATTGATGTCAGCTGGATTATAATCAAAAAGGTCATGTTGGCTTCCATCAGGTGAGGATTTGGCCTCACTTGCCTGTCATCTGACCAGTTCCTAGGAGTTACTGGTGGTACATTCTTTGTACCCTGTTTTTTCAGACAAATGAGTCGTGTCTCATGTAAAAGCATCTTGACATATGGATCTTTTTGGAGAAACTGTGTATGGTATTTTTCAGTGCAGCCAAACTGGTGAAGTGAGTGTTTTCATGACAATGATTGCAATATGGAAGAAATTTTCTTTTCACCTAGGGGCACTTTGGAGAATCAGCGAGGGATTTAATTTACTTTGATTCTCTCTTACTTCCTATTGTATACTTTTCTTTGCAAGACTTTCAAACCAGTCAGTGCAGCGTATGAGATCAGTTCTCATCCTGGGGCGATGTGAGGAGGGGGAGGTGATAGGTTTCCTTCAAAGAGTCTGTCTCCTCTGTGACAACTGGCAGAACTGCGGAGTCCTGCACAGTTCACGTGGTTTGTCTGTTAGCATTTATTTCATTTTAAAGCCTCCGTGCGTTGTCTAGACATTTGGGAGTACACAGTGTGACTGTGAGGTCTTTGCCAATATTTTCTGTTTAAGCTAGATTCCTGTTATTGCGTCTGGTTTTCAGTGTTTTGAGGTCCATGGCTTGGGTATATGTGTTATTTAGGGGCAGACATTTATGCTCTAGGCCATTAAGTGTCCTTGAGCTTTAACTGTTCTTTCTGAGGCATTATTTCTTATAAAGAGGGGATCCTCATATTTAACTTAATTGCATTAATCTTAACTTAGTCCATACATACGCTACTTAGTTAGACATTTCCCAGCTAATCAGCTCATCGCTGTGCTCACACACCAAACCATATGAGCACCTCACTCATTTAGAAACACCTTGCAAGGCATAGGCTAGCTCTGAGCATGGAACTACTCATGAAACTGTTTAAAAGCTATCTTCAGTCTGCATGGCTGCAGAGATCCTACAGAGCAGCTGCGGGGATGGACAGATTGGCTGCTCTGAGAAATTAAAGTTTCTGCTGTCTTAACCTACCACTATCTGATTATACCATTCTGTTTCGTTTAGCCTAGCTTATAATATTACTTACTGCAGTTTCTGATACATCAGGACCAAGAGAGAAAGTGACAACACAGACAGTTCTGTCTCGATGTTCTTGTTCAATTTGAACCTTCCATGTTTTGTTTTGTTGCAGTGGGAAGTGGCAAAACAAGAAGACGTTGGGTTTTAAAACTCCTTTCTTTCTCATGGTTATTCTCCACTGGAAGTTAAACCCTTGTTCCATCAGATATGTTTGCAGTGAGATTAGCAAGGTTCACAGGAGTGTGAAAATGTTTGCAAAGCCAAGAAACAAACCTGGCCCATTGCAGAAGTCAGCCCTGGCCATGTCTGGCCATGGCCTTTGGCATGCAGAGAGAGGACTTGCAAAAAGCAGAAGGGAATGGTGGGCTCCCTTGTTTATTTTGTGTGATGTGCAGTGGTACTGATTACTTTTATTTAACTGATAATGTCAAGGAAGCAATTTTTTTTTTCACAGAAGACATGAATTGTAACAGGATTGGAATCTACGTGCTTCAGTTGTCACAACAAAAGCCAAAAAGTGACATGGTGAACCTGACATAGCCTACCTGTTGTGCATTTCACATCCTGTGTTTCTTCTGGGGCTCTCACAGAGCCAGTCTGTGGGCAGTGAGCTGAATCACTGAGGACACAGCAACCAAGCAGCTGAAGTGGGAGCCCTCAGCTCACAGAACCAAACCCTGACTTGCTTCTCATGCACACACAGTCCATCTCATTAGCACATTACAACCCATAAATTGTGATTACTTACCATGTCTTCTCCCTTTGATTTCTTCTTAGATATTGATGAATGTGCAATAGGAACCCACAACTGTTCAGCTGCGGAGTCCTGCTATAACATCCAGGGCAGTTTCCGCTGCCTGTCCTTTGAGTGCCCCTCCAACTACAGAAAGGTGTCTGACATGTAAGTATGGCCACTGCAGTAGGAGCCATGTTTGGTGTTATGTATTGCTTTAATGTGGGAGTGGTTCTAAGCACTCAGAGCTGTAATAAACTGCTTTGGTCCCTGGAGCACATCGAGTTTTCATGTGCAGAATGGTCAGTTTTTCTCTTTTCCTTCTTCCAGACCCCAGAGATTCCATTTATCTCCAGCTGCTGTAACAGCAGTCACCAGAGCTTCAGTCACACTCTCCCATGCTTCCCAAAGCTCTAAAAGGGCTCTGTTTGTATCTAAGTTTTAAAAAAATCTACTGCTGCAGCTCTTAGAGTGGTTTTAGGGCTCATTGGTTAATATTCATGTTGCAGCTCCTCAGAGATGCTTGAAACATTGAAGGGCAGTAGGATAAGAAGACTGGCAGGATCAGGAACTGTTGGACCCCATAGCACCCAGTTCCTAAGCCACTAAGAAGACTTGGGAACCCCAAAATCTCCCTGCCCATTTCCTGCCAGCACTTTGGAAAGCCAGAGGAAAGTTTGAAAAACTCCTGCGTTGCAAAGTGGGAAACAGTTGAGTTGCAAGAGAAACAGAAATATGGAGGAACTTGGAATTTCTTTCCATCAAAAATGCAAAGCTGCATTTGCTGTAGGAAATCTTAGTTGCTTATCATTTAAAACATTCTTTTCCTGCCTAATAGAATTAGCAGCTTTTCAAGCTGAAGACTTGGTTTTCCCTTGTTTTGATCTTTTTGGAGCACTGTCCCGAGCTTATGCTGTCAGTGATGAATCAGACTCCCTCCAAGCTCTGTGCTTATCCGTGATTGTTTTCTTCCTCTGTTGTACTCTGACAATTTTATCACCTACCATTTCTTTACGGATGCCATAAAAGCAGAGTAAGCAGCTGGTGATTACACAGGTGAAGGGTGGGACTCTTGTTTGCCTAGCACAAGCTGAAGACTCCCTTGACTTTGCAGTTCTCTGAAACGCATATATGATTTACCCATTACATAGACACTGACAGTTCTTCTTTTTGCTTCTCACAGGAGGTGCGAACGAATCAGTTGCTTTAATTATCTGGACTGCCAGAATACCCCGGTGCGCATCACCTATTACCAGCTGAACTTCCAAACCAACATCATGGTCCCAGCGCACATCTTCCGTATTGGACCATCGCCTGCCTATGCTGGAGACAACATAATCCTTACTATCAACAAAGGAAACGAAGAAAACTACTTCAGCACTCGGAGGCTGAACTCATACACGGGCATTGTCTATCTTCAGCGACAGGTCAAAGAGCCTAAAGACTTTTTGTTAGATGTCGAAATGAAACTGTGGCGTCAGGGAACATACACTACTTTTCTTGCCAAAATTTACATTTTCATCACAGCTCATGCATACTGAAGCATGTATTGACGTTGGAATTTATTGGTGCTATGCTCTTTACCTGTTCTACCAAAGCTTAATATTGTTGAACTGGCATTTAACGTATCTAGCCTTTATGTTATTTTTCTGTCATTGCTTTCAACTTTTTTTATTGGTTGTGTAAATTAAGTTAATTTTTTTCTTTGTTGTTTTGCTTTCTTATATAATTCTTCACATCATCGTTTGACAATGAGCAAAAGGAGGGTTAGAAAGGCATTGTGTTACATGCAGGTATCTTTTCTTAGAAATTACTCTTAGGTTTAGTCACATATGCAAGGTATTGCACTAGAGAGGAGAGATGTTCACTTGGGAGCATTGCTTTTTGCATTACGAGAAAAAGGCTTGAGCAGTTTCTCTTTACTACACGAACTTATGGTTTGGCCACTGAAGTTTTTCTATGTTGAGATACTGTGTCAAGGGCTGTGCATATACATTGACAGTTGACTCACCTCATATTACAGGTTTGTTTTCCTCCTTCCATCTTTTATAATATGTTGCCTTAAAATATATATAAATAAAAGAAAACTCCACCAGTGAACAAGCCTATGACTGAGCCTTGCTTTAGTAGGACTGCTCCTATGATAGACTTTGGCAAGACCTAGGCCTTCAGGGGATAGGGTGCTTCAAGGGAAAAGCTCGCATTGCCATTTTTAATAGTGTGCTATAGGTTCTTGAACTCTTCTCTGCACAAAAGCATTGTATTTAGGTAACCATATGTGCAGACTAGATGTATTATAATTCTTACAGGAAAGTCAAAGAGGAAATGTGGAAATAATCAACTGCTGCCCTTTATTTTAAGTCCTGTGTGTGCTGCTGAGGAATCATTTGAAATTTTAAATAAACAATAGGGGAGTTGCTTCTGTTCTTCAGGAAAATTACTTCAGTTGTATTACCAAATGACGCAGAGGAAAATGCTAGTTAAATTGGTGGTTTGTATTATGCCATTTAGAAACAGCACAACTTAAGTTTTGAGTTGGATTTCCTCTAGTTCCACAGGAAACTGGAAGAGGTCCAGAGCTGAAGGCCAGATGTGGTAAAGCTTAGTATAATCAAAGTGTTTGTTAGAATTTAGAAATGAACATCAGAGAGTCTCTTTTTCTGAGGGAAAAGAAAAAGTTCCAGCATTGAAACTCACTGAACTTCCTTTGTTCTGCCTATAATTACTCCGTAAAATGTTTTGATGGAAAAACATAGCTACGATATATTGATGTTTTTTACACTGCATTTTGATAATCTGTTCTTTTCTACAGTCATTCTTATTTTGACCGGTGTGTACATATAATTTTTTTAAAAAGAGAGAGAGAAAGAAAGAGAAATTAAATCTTATGGCTTTTTATGCCATAATCAATACTTCTATTATATTGTAAAAATAGTTGTTTGAAATACATCTTACAATCTTATAACCACCACCAGCAGGGTGAGAGGGGAGATGTACTGTGTTCATTATGTCCCAAGGCCAACTTCTACCACTCCAGGTAAATTACTTCTTTAATTCAGACTCCCTTATTGATGATAAAGCAGAAATCTCTCTGTGTCTCACATCATAAAGACTTACTGCTAGAGAAGAAATATTGCTATTCCTCGGTTGTAAAATATGGGATATCTGAAAGTTTGCATACATTAAGTTTCTTGGTTTGTTTTTGTTGGTTTTGTTGGGTTTTTTTGTCTATAAAAGTAATTTTGTAAAAGCGATCTTCCATCTATCTTTTGTTTTCCATAGCTACCAGTTTCATAAGCTTTTAGCAAAGAAATGCCAACAGAGAAACACATTTATGCAATTTGTCATTTCAATTAATGCATATCTTACAGCTACAGGCCTGGAAAGATGAAGAGGCAACCACAAGAAGGAGTAGGAGAGCCTTCCAGATTCATTATGCTGCATACATGTTAAGTGGTGATACATTTCTCCATGCCCCAGTGGGACACATAGGAGTCACTGAAACCCAGAGGTTTCCATCAGCATTAGTTTGTGATTGAGCGTAATGATATTCATGCGCCAACAGCCTTTCTTGTCAGAGAACAAATGGACAAGGCATTTGTTACTCAGAGACCTTCTGCTGACTAAAAACAACTGCAGTCAATCATATTAAGGATCTGCCAGTTTGTAGCACAGACTTTTCATTTTGTAGACAGGTAGTTGATGAAGAAAGTTTTAGGAAAGGCTTTGCATACGATTATAAGAGAAATGCTATGTTATTAAAAAATGTCATCATTAGCACTGTGTACAACAGGCATTTGATCCATATAGAAATGGCTGCTTGTTGCAACTGGTCCAAGCAAAGCAAAGGCTGGTTGTAGAATGGAAGATTGGAAATGAGCTTTATGTGACTTTTTTGAACAATGCATGTTCTGTTTAATTTTTCAGATTATTTACTCCCTGCCTCTATGAAATGACCTCTTTGTATTTGGTGACTGTATCTCTTGGGTGATCCAGCAGTCCTGAGGACTAAGGAAGAAGAAATGAAAACCTGTGTGTGTGCTGGAGACTTGAGCGGGTCAATTACAGTTTGAAACACGAGGGGTGTTTTTGACTGGAATTTTCTTAACATGTGCTTGGAATGCTGTAAGTAGCAGGACCTGGGAGAGAGAGGTGCTTTTAGCTAGAATTTTGAATGGCTTCCTTTTTGCACCAGGGAGGAAGTATTTTCCTATCTCTTTGTATGTAAAAATACACACATATGGATTACTCCAGGTACTGATGAGTTGGTGCTAGTATTCCTTTGTGAGTTTAACACAGAAAACAGGATCAGAGTGCTCTTCTTGTGACTTTCTCATTCTGTTCATAGTGGTGGGTGGCAGTGTGGTTACATATCACTGAAGAGTAAGCTGTAAATTTTAGTGGACTCAAATTCTGCTATTAGCTCCAAGATCACACAAAGAAAACTTTATCTACCTTTATTTCTTTACATCTTTGTATCTCTTATTCCTTAATCTTGCAAGTTGGGACAGAAAACAATTCCAAACTTAGGGATTTTATATTCTGAATCATTTTTTGAGTTTGATACTGTAATAAAGGATAAACAGCAATAGTGGTTTTAATATTATGGCACGTGATGGGCTCTTCTGCAAAGGTCCCATTTGAAACATTAACAGTACAAGGTGGGGGTATTTCAGGGAGCAGGAAGCCTTCCCCTCATTCCTCTGCTGTGAGAAGCAGTCAGTCAAGGGGGAGATAGCTCCCCTGCACACACACTTCTCTAGAGGAAGTACAGCTGCTCCCTCTTAATGGTATTACTTGGGTCACTGCTCACCTGTAGACTGCTTCAGCACGGGGAGCCTGGGGTCGTTGTGAAACTAACAAATTGCCTCTTTGTCCCCAGCTGGTAGTGCTTTGCTGGTACCAGCACCTGCCTACAATCAGCTTCTGGGTGGAGCTGGGCACTGGACGAAGGCTATTTCTGCTTTGTCTGCTGGGTCTGCGTGTGCTTGTGCCATTATTTGCTTGTATGGTATCAGAGGTGGTGGTGGTGTTCTGAAAAGCAATACTTTTCAGAGCGTGTCTAGAAAGAAGAGAGTGCTGAAAGCTGCATGCACAGGATGGAAAGCAAAGAAGAGCAAGAAAAAAAAAAGTAAGATGTTATGGTTATTTGGTGATGTTTATGGTGATGAATCTGGATTTCTATGTGTTCCTAAGTAAAGGCTTGTGCATGTGATTAAAACCAGTGTCCTTTATGGGTAGATAAGTTTTTTAGACCTTCGAAGGGCAAGAACTTGCTTTCATCTGGTTTGCAGGATGGGGGAAGCTGCTGCAGATTCTCCTTCCCTATTCTTTATAGTTGTTTTCTATTTTTTCATATTTTCATTATTCCTGCTTGTGCTATGAGGAAGAGAAAGTTCCAGCTGGGGAGAATTAGGATGCTGGAGTAAAAATAGATTCTGAGGTTAAATAAAAATATCTTCCCCCTCTTAGGGTTCTCTGCGTGATGGAGACGTTCATTTTGAAATGGCTATTGAAATCTAGGATTTAATTATATCCAGTTTCCATGATGTGAAATGAAAGTCACAAACTTGAGCTTTTTGTCTTCTAAAACACTTTTTTCTCATTTGCCTGTGCTTTATAAATAGTAATCTATGGGTAGGACCATTCCAGAACTTAGGAGCCCTTCAGCTTTTGTTCCTTAAGGGCTCCTGTTCAATGTACCCTGACACAGACTGCCAGAGATGGCAGGTTGGTGCCTCTCCTTGCCCCAGAGCTCTGTGGGCTCATTTGCTGCCTGCTGTGTGGGAGGAATGGTATCTTTCAGCTTACCTGGCTCAGGGGGCTTCTCAGGAAAGGTGGCAACACTGGCTTCCCAAGAGCAAAAGCTCCTGATAGAGTAGGGTTATGAATTCTAACATGTGTTATGGATTTTCTGTTTTTAGCTGGGAATGGAGACGAAAGGATGTCAGTGTGGTGCCCTATGTACTGAGAAGGGAGGGAGGGGAGGAGATCCTTTGTGCATCAACAAGTCTGCTGAGACACAGCCAAGAACTGTGCTAACTGCAAAAATTCCCCACAATAAATTAGAAGTCTCATTCTATTTTGGAATAATAGCAAAACACGCAAAGTGGTGAGCTTCTCTCTGTGTCATCATCTTTAGAAAGTAATTGTGGAAAATATTAACAACAACTGATTCCACTTAAATTAAGGAGAATATATGCAAAATGGAGATATTAAGGCTTTGAGAGAATGGAAGAGTAAAGATGCCATTCTGGTTATTGTGGGCACCAATGTGCTATGCTCCAAAGAGGGGTTTTGGCTCATTGCATTTACAGAACTACTTGTTGCAGACACATGCTCTTTAGAGGAGGACAGATTCTCCCCAGCATCAATGGCAAGGAGTTGTACATGGAGTGCTTTCAGCTTGGGAAAAAGGCTGAATCTTAGAATGAAGTATGTCTGAAGTAGAGTGCTGCCATTTTGGGAATTTGAATAAATATGTAAAGAGTGATACGGGGTTGACAAGCACACAGATCTTTCTAGGCAATGTATCACGATGAAAAGTTTCCTTTTGTTAGCAATAATGAAGAAAATTCTCTAATCAAAGGATAAAGGTCATAGAAGTGAGAGGTCTTTGATATGAGACAGGACAGGCCACATCTGACTGTAGCTGTAATACCCCATAGATACTGGTCACTGCACCTTGAAAGTGAAGATATTCCCTTGTTAGGTTGAAATGGCAAAGCTCAACTCCCAAATGCATTTTAGGGTAGATGAAAACACGCCTTCCCTTGCTGCCATGGGAATCTTTTTGTCTCCTGCAGTTAAGATGGAATGTTGAGCTGCTGCAGTGAACGTGAAGTTCACTCTCTTCTTACCGATGTCCTTCACAGGCTTATAAAAGAATAATCCCAGTTAATCTTAGCTGCTACAGAGAACTGTTACAATTAATCTTATTATCATTCAGGTGTACCTTTGAGAAATAGCTTTCACACTGACCAGCAGTATTTCGTACAGCTTCAGACTGTCTAATGTAGAAGAGTATAATTCTGGAGTAAATATACAATACTGTCTCAAATACCTCCTGTGGGAGGGGGGCTGTGGCTGGCCATTAGTGTAATCATCAGCTATGTCACAATAACTATGTTCTACACTCCAGGCGTTTTTCTAATTAGACCAAGTATGCAGTATTATACCAATATATTGTGTTGCCTAATGTAGATTAATGTGATTATGCTGTGGTATTGAGAGCAAAATGTAATTCTGTAGTGACTTGGTATCACTGGAGTTGGGAGGGCAGAAGTGTGGAACTCAGTCATGATCTTCAAGGATTTCCAAAATCAGCATAGCACTTAGATTGGATTTGAAAGTGCAGGGGAGTCTGTAACTGGAGTTGTGAGTTTTTGTAGAGTGAGTTTTTCTATAGCATACGCTCTCCTGTATCTTCCCACATATCAGATGATGGTTCTCCAAACTGGAGTTGCACATGCAAGAGTCTGCATTCTTATTTATACAAAATCAGCAGTTACTGATGCAAGTGATCCCATTAACTGGAAAGGCTTGAGTACTTGACTGGGACTCAGAAAATCCAGAATCTGGTCTGGGCTTTGTCCAAGTGGGTAATTGGGTGCAAATCTATTGCACTTAGTTACAGCCTCCAGAAGTTCTTGCATTCAATACAAGAGTTATAAAGTAAACCCTCTTGCTTTGCTCTGTAAGAGTAGTATCAGCTGTGTATATTTGGTCACATAGATATTATTCCAAGGTTAGAGACTGGCATAAATTCTGCTGACTCTTTCTTCCTGGTGATCAGAAAGTCTTGCGTAGCAGATGCCAGAGGTGGAAGGGGTGAGCTCAAGTGGGTTCTAAGGGGTCACAAGCATAGAGATTTTGTGCACTGTGCCATGTACCACTAGCCATCTTCTGCTAATTTGGGTAGCACTAATAAATTTAAAACAGCAATGGAAAAATTCAATTACCTTGAAAGTAAGGACGTCATAAGAAAAAGTTCTTGATTTAAAAAAAGTATATAACGACCAATATTCTCAGTAGCTGTTGATTCCACTGAAGTGAAAGTTAAGTGAAGTCACAGTTTTAATCATAACTTAATTTTCTCTCTGAGGAGAGGAAAGGAGGAACGTGTATGATGGATGCCTGTTGTGTTGCATGAATTACATCTGAGTGATTCTGACATACGGTAGTGATGAACGTATTTGATTGTGGTTACTACATACAACTTCTTAAAGACTTTTTTTTTTGACTTGTAAGTTGGGAAGAGGTGGAAAGATGCTTTAAAAAAAAAATCAAAAACTGACAACTAGTATTAATCAGACAGTATAAGACTTCTCCAACCTTTCCATTAATTCTTTACTCTTTATGAAGAGAGCGTGGGCTGCTGGTTTGGATTGGTTTGTTATTGTTGTTTAGTGGTTTTGATTGATAAGTATTCAGAGAAAAGGAGGTACAAAGTGTTCCCCATCTCTGCTGTAGGTATGTTGTGCTGGAAATGTGCATGTCACTTAAATAGAGCCCAAGTCTTCAGCATGCAGAGCAGAGAGGCTTGAGTTGCTTTGCACAAATGAAACTTACTTGCCCGGGACTGCAGAAGTCCCTATTTAGCACACAGTCTGCCTGTTCTTAGAAATCTCTGGAATTCTACACTGTATTTGGTGCCTCTAAATCAGCAACAATCTTTATCTCTTCCGTTTATGAGTTCCACT